TTAATGTAAAAGTCTACAAATCTTAAATGTTGACTTTAAATGAAATAAAATACATGGATATAGATAGAAAACATAGATTTCAGATATATTATTTCCCATAAGCACAGACACGTAGGCTATTTAACAAACATGAAGACTGAATACAGAATGCACACCTGTTCTGCACGCGCACTAATCAGTTTTGTCTATTCCGTCACATTTCTAATAAACGTAAAACAGTGATATTTGGAAAACACACAGATTTATATATAAAAATAAAGGCAGTGAACAGTTACATCTCTACTTTACATAAGGGTGTCTGCATCCCAGGCTGTAGTTTCCTTCCCAAAATGTCACATTACAGAAACAAAATCCTGCAGTTTTTGTGATTTTTGGCAAACCGATCAACAAATAAGTCAAGATTCAAAGCCTTTGACCTCCTTGACTCAATACTAAGCACACCCAGATTGCTCAGTCTCTCATCAGTTATGGTGGATCTGAATTTTTTTTTGACCAGCTTCAATGTAGAAAAACTACGCTCACAGGAAACAGAACTGACTGGGATTGCGACTGCTATTTTGCAGGGTCTGAAGAGCTCAAAAAACACTTTTTTATAAGGCTTAACAAGCTCCACTGTACTATCAGGTCTCTGCATCCCAGTCTTTATTTTCCTATCTAAAATGCTGCTGAACTGATGTAGCTCATGCCCCAAGTCCTCAATATTTGCATCATACAACTGAGCAAATGGAAACAGAGTAGTCTCCTTCAGAAATGAATCACTTTTGGGGTTAAGAGCTTGGATGCTATTCATCATGTCACAGTTTGTGAAAACCGTCTATTAAGCTCATTGAGCATCTGATCAATGACAGGGTAGAAAAAGGCTGTACGAAACCCGTGTTTATCTTGTTCTGTCTCTCTCTGTCCAACAGTAGTCAGTACGAAGCTTTCAGCAAGTTTAGAGCTCAGTCGTTTTTGTCGTTTTGCTGCTGGCTGTATTGCAGTATCACATTGCTCAGAAATGTTCAACACTTCATCCCACGAGTTATACAAAAATGACTCCTGCCTGAAGTCATTCAATGTCTGAACTAAAGATCCAACTAAATCCACAGCCTTTGAAAGGTCAAGGGATGAAGACTGTAACATGTCAGAGAGAAATTGTGTTTCTGCAAACACTTGTTACAAGATGCACAGTGAATTCTAGATCCAACTGTGCCAGCAGACCACGTGCCTCAATAGATCTCTCACCATTGCGTTCTTGGGCTATGTCTTGCAGTACTCGCTTGAGGGCCGGTAATCTATCCATAATGTTACGGAGAGATATACATCTGCATGCCCATCTAGTGTCACTCAATCGCTGGAGTTCTCTTGGGGCACCTTCGTACATCTCTCTTTGGATATCTAGCCATTTGGGGTGGACATACGACCCAGATGTGAAGACGTATAGCTTTTCTAGTAAGGAGAAGAACTGCTCTGCTTCTGGGACAGCTTTGACTGTATCTACTAAAACTAGATTTAGACAGTGAGCATTGCAATGAACATAAAAAGCATATTTAGCTTGCTCTCTGATTCTAACTTGGACCCCTGAGTGCTTACCGCTCATGACAGCAGCACCATCATATGCTTGGCCTACAAGGTTGTTTTTGTATTCCAAACCGTTACTTTCCAATATGTGAATTATTTGTTCACTAAGCCCTGCTGCATCTAGCCTCTCTGCTGACTCAAAATGGAGAAAACTCTCCTGGATAGCACCATTGAAGTAGTACCTGACTACAAGAGAAATCTGTTCTTTTTTTTTTAACATCTTTTGTTTCATCTGCCATGATGCTAAAGACTTCACTGTTTTTCACTTCCTCTGTTATTTCAGATCGAACCATGTCTGCAAGACAACCCAGAACTTCATTCTGAATGGTTTTGCTTGTGTACTTTGCATTATGAATGGAAGTCAACCTTTTTTTAACAGCTTTGTCATGGTTAGCAATTGTCTCTAAAATAGTCATGAAGTTCCCTTTATTATCTGAGCCTGCAGACCCATTGTGTCCTCTTTGAGCAATGTTTTGTGTCGCAGTAAGTAGCAGCACTTCGGCTATGGTTTTTATATATTCCCGATTTTCTTGAACCAGTTTCTTATGTTCTTTGTTAAGTACATTTGCCAATGTTGCATTGGATGTCACAGCTCTCTGGTAGTCTTTCCATGCAATCATTGCGTGCGTGTGCCGCTCAGATTTGGCATGGATTGCAAATCCCCCCTCTTTGTATGTTGCCTTCTTCCAGTTTTTGAAACCTGAAGGTGAATCAAATACAGTGTCTGTGCTATTCGGAGGGCTAAAATGTCTGCAGGCGTAACAATGAGCAGATTCTGACATTTTGGAGTACTCAAGCCAGGGGTGAATCTTGTACCAGTCAGCCTTGAAACTCCTTCTCCGGTCGCCCATCCAGGTCCTTGGAAACAATTTAGGGTGTGGTTGCATTGGTGGCTCCTCTTTGCACTTGCTGATATCTGTGGAGAAAGATAACGCAAATAAATATGTTTATTATTATTATTATAATTGAAACAGATCATTATAAATGATATATGCACATTAATCAGAGCAATGAACAACCACAAATTAGATATCTATATTAATAGATTTATGACACAAAACTGCTTTCTCCCTGTTATATTTAGTTAAGCCAGACAACAGGCTTTGGGATAAGATAAGGGCTTTCCTGGACTCAAACCATCTCGGCTGCCAACAATAAATATAATAATATTAATAAATACATATAAATAAGCTATGAAGAAACAGAAAAATAATTGTAATAATAATGAAAGAAGTTAAATTAAATGGGAAATGGATGAATAGGTGAATTAATCAGAAAAGGAAGAGATGTGTGTATGTGTGTGTATATGTACATATGTGTGCATATATATGTATATTTATTTATTACACCTTTTTTTTGTTTTATAATAAAAAAAGAGGAAAAAATAAGTATATCTATATTATGAAGCAAATCATGTATAAATACAACGCCATATGCATACATAAAATGTAACTGACACTGTAATCCCCCTACCCCCCACCCTTCATGTTATTGTCCTGTCCTATTTGTGATGTGTGTGAGCCATGTCCTTGTCCGTATGTTTTTGTCTTTGAAAATGTTTAATAAAATATAAATGTTAAAAAAAAGGATTTATGACATAAGGGAAAATGAATTAGTATCACACACACTCCGACAAACCATTTGAACTGTAACTAAGATTAAAGCAGGCACATTTGTTTTTCAAAATCACAAACCTGATGTTCCAGTACTTGTGGATCTATCCTCTATCTCACTCTTGATTTCATCCTCAGCCTCACTCTGTGACTCCCCATCTTACTCTCCCTGCTCTGAACCTTCAATTTCCAGATCAGTCTCTCCTGAAAAGTCCTCCGGCTCTGTCTCTGTGGCAATCTGCACTTCCTGCTGTGTGTTACTGTCTGCCTCATCATATTTTTTTGGGGGGGGGCGAAAAAGGACATATTGTCCTTTTTTCGCTTCATTTTGAAACTATAGAGCAAACACAAAGGGGGAGGACAATACTTCAGCAACGCAGAATATAAATGTATAACCGCTAGATACATTTCACAACTATATAGCTGGGGTGACCAGGTGTCCCTCTTAAAATAGAACGAAATGGCGGGATATACTTTTGGTGGTGTAAAATGGAGCCTGTGACAAAGAAAATGCAGCTACAACAAAGCAGGGAAGGTACTTATTATTGGGTAAAACCGGTGGATGGAGATTCCCAGAGCGTGTTCTGGCTCGGTTCAGGTTGTCTCAAGTTCGGCTTCATTGCAGAGTTAAACATTTCAGCGATGGAAGCAGTGGTGGGGCGGTGGTGGCGAAGTCGATAGGGACTTGGCTTGGTAACTGGAAGGTCACCAGTTCCAGTCCCGGCAAGACCAAATGCTACAGAGGTGTCCCTGAGCAAGGCACCGTTCCCTACACTGCTCCCCGGGCGCCATTCAAAATGGCAGCACACTGCTCCTAACACTAGGATGGGTCAAATGCAGAGAAACAATTTCCCCACGGAGATTAATAAAGTATATCAAAAATCAAAACAAAAAAAAGCAAAGAGGATCTCACCTGGTGAGTAGAGACCACTGAAATATATATTCAAGCAAACAAAAAAACGTGTATAATTGTAAGGAGTCAAACATTGGATGATTAGTAAAGACTGATTGTTAATAATCCTCAGGTGTATTCTGATTATTTAGGACTGGTGAACAACCAGTCACCACATTCAAAGAGCTGAGCTGAAAGGAATATATTCTTTCCTGCAATAGACTTTCAAAAATCGTTATAAAATACTTATGCCCAAAGATAACAGGAACATCCACCTGAGGGTAAATAATGGTATAAAACGTTTTCCATTGTATTAATGTGTGTACTGATACTGAGACATTATTGATGTCTGTAAATGTGTTCTAAAGAAGAGTCTGAAGTTCAGACTTGAGGTGAACAAGGATATTAAAACCATTGTTTGATATTCATAACCAGTTACAACAGCTATAAAAACAAGATGACAATTGCAATTTTACCACCTTTGGTAACACATTAACTTATGCTAAAAATACAAGCTAAAACTGAGAATGTAAAGATCTTTTTTTACATAACATGTATTTAAGCTGACCCTTTATCCAAAGTGACTTGCATACACTTCAATACCGTTGACATGCTTACGGGAGCAATTTGGAGTTAAGTAGCTTGCAAGGTCACTTGGACACGTTGACTGCAGGGGGGATCCAACCACTGACTATCTGATCAGTTGGCCTTCCATTTCACTCTGAGCCACATCCGTGCTCTGAAGGAGTTGTTGAATCTCAGTTTTTTTCACGGAGAGTAATTGTGTTAAATTATTAGAGAATTGTTTTTGTCTCAGATCAATGAAATGTAACTGAGTACGAATTTGTCTAGATAATGTATTTGAATGAAAAATTCATATTATGAACTAAGAAAACCAAAAATACGTCTTGAATTTGTAAATATCCTCTTCACAGGTTTTTAAACCCAACAGTTGGTTTCCAGTTGAACACGTCTCTGATGTTACCTGCAGAGTGACATTATGGCGACAGCAGCAACAGGTGAGTTCAGACTTTATGTTGAATATAACTCACCTTCTGCTTTCACCCTCTCCTTAACATTTTCAAAACATTTATTTATTTTTGCATGCTGCTGCGGTGTATTTGAATGATATCCGGAATAAGTAGATAAAACACAGCTATGAACACCCTTTAATCAAATGTGAATATTCTGTGTTCTTTTAGTGTCAGATGATCTGCAGCCTATGAGTGGCTGCCACGTTCCAGTGAGTTTAACTGAACTGAGTCCCAATGATTTAACTGTATATCAACATCTAAAATTACAGAGGGGATGGTTATAATTGCAAACCTCTTTATTTTATTAGAATTTTAGCAAGTTTTCCAATAATAATAGCTCACACATTTACTCTTTAATTCTGTGACATTGTCATTGGTTGAAATTCAATTTAATTGTATCCATTACCACTGCCCAAGTATTTAGTTGAATAGTTTTTCTAACTTTGTTTCTCACAGTGTCTGAGCTGAGGGTTGTTCTGCTGGGGAACAGCTGGTCTGAGAGGAGTTCAGTGGGGAACTTCATACTGGGATGGTCTGTGTTCAACAGTGAGGAAGAACCAGACCACTGTCAGAGAGAGAGTGGAGAGCTGGAGGGGAAAAGAGTAGTTGTGATCAACACCTCAGATCTGCTGCACTCCTTCATCTCTGAAGACAAACTGACAGAACATGTGAACGTCTGTGTGAGGCTCTCTGATCCTGGACCTCATGTGTTCCTGCTGCTTCTACAGCCTGAACACTTCACTGAGGAACACAAACTGAGACTCTGCACAGTCCTGAATCTCTTCAGTGATCAGGCATTTGATCATTCACTGATTCTGATATCACCATCCAGAGAGGAGGGTTCAGGTATCATCGACAAGTGTATGCAACATGCTCCCTTAAGAGACATGATCAGAAAATGTAGATACAGATATTTGAGGCAGAACCTTGTCCATCCAGAGCTGTTAACACGTTTGGGTCAGACTGCAAAGGAGAACAATGGAGAGCCTCTGAGCTGTGATGTGTTTGAGTTTGAGGATGCAGGTTTGATCATGACACCAACGTCTGAAATCATGAAAGCAGCTTTAAACCTGGTTCTGTGTGGCAGGAGAGGAGCAGGGAAGACTTCAGCAGCCAAGGCCATTTTAGGTCAGACAGATTTCCCGTCAGTCTCCAACTCCTCAGAGTGTGTTAAACATCAGGGAGAGGTGTGTGGATGCCGGGTTTCCCTGGTGGAGCTGCCTGCTTTGTGTGGAAAACCTCAGGAGGAAGTGATGGAGGAATCATTCAGGTGTGTCTCCCTCTGTGATCCTGAGGGCGTCCATGCCTTCATCCTGGTCCTACCTGTGGGTCCCCTCACTGATGAAGACAAGGGAGAGTTAGAGACCATCCAGAACACATTCAGCTCTCGAGTCAACGACTTCACCTTGATTCTGTTCACCGTGGAGTCAGATCCTACAGCTCCAGCTGTTGTTAACTTTCTAAAGGAGAACAAGGACATCGAGGAGCTCTGTCAGAGCTGTGGAGGAAGACATGTTGTTCTCAACATCAAGGACCAGCAGCAGATCCCAGAGCTGTTGAATACTGTGGGAGAGACCAGAGTCGGAGGATCCAGGTGCTTCACAATGAAGATGTTCACCAAGGCTCAGATGGAAAAGGTAGTACAGCAGGATAACACCAACAAGATAAATAAAACTGAACAGCAGTATGTTAAAAAGAAAAGTGAGATGTGCGGTGTTGATGAAAGTCAGACCAGAGAGTGTCTGAGGATGGTGCTGATTGGGAAGACTGGCAGTGGAAAGAGTGCAACTGGAAACACCATTTTGCGAAAAGAACATTTTACATCCAGCCAGATGTCTACGACGACCATTTGCCAAAAAGCAACAGGAGAGATTGATGGACGCCCTGTCACTGTGGTCAACACACCTGGCTTGTTTGACACAACTCTGTCTGATGATGAAATTCAACAAGAGATCAAAAAATGCATCAGCATGTTGTCTCCTGGACCTCATGTTTTCTTATTGGTGCTGCAGATCGGCCAATTTACACCGGAGGAAAAAGACTTCCAAATATTTTGGAACGAAATCTGGAGATTTCATCATCCCTATATTCACCAGGATATGAACTTGGAGAGCATTCTTTTGAGAGTTATGCTGAACTTTGTGGTGGCTTGGTCAAAAAAGTCATCAATGACTGTGGAGGGAGATACCAGGTCCTCAATAACAAAGATGACGCAAAGGACACACAAGTCAGAGAGCTGCTGACCAAGATCGAGACCATGGTGAAGGAAAATGGCAGCTGCTGCTACACTGAGGGATACACAGAAAAACAAGTGGCGAAGATTTTGAAAGGGAAGGAAGAAGAAATGAAGAGACAGGACAAGGCCCTCCGGAGAAAACATGATGATGATGATATGAGAACACTGGAACGCAAAATCAAAGAAGAGAAAGAAATGAGAGAAAGACAGCTGAAGGAGAAAGAACAAGGCATTAACAAGGAGTGTGAGGAGAGAAAGAAAAAACAGGAGGAAGTTGAAAGAGTACGGAAAAAACAAGAAGAAGGTAGGCAAACTGGAAGCTGCAGAGAAACAAGTTGAATCAGAAAGAGAGCAAAATGACAATTTTTCAAAGAAACTGGAGCTGATTAGAAAAGACATGAAGAGAGAACGAGACGCCTTGAATAAACAGAGCCTGGAGGAATGCAAAACCAACTACAAGAAGCTGCAAGACGAGTACCATTGGAAGAGAAGAAAATATACATGTTCTACAATGTTGCTATTGTTGTTTCTATCGTGTGTATTATGTTATGTATTTCTCAGTCAGGCGTACACATGCATACAGACTACAGACAGCTCAAAGACAAAAGAACACACACACACACACACACACACACACACACACACACACACACACACACACACACACACACACACACACACACACACACACACACACACACCACACACACACACACACACACACACACACACACACACACACACACACACACACACACCACACACACACACACACCACACACACACACACACACACACACACACACACACACACACAACACACACACACACACACACACACACACACACACACACACACACACACACACACACACACACACACACACACACACACACACACACACACACACACACACACACACAAATAGATATCCGAAACTAAGGAGCAGCGATGAGTGCAGAGAGTAAATATTAATCCTTTGATAGTTGGGTTTTATTGTTACGCTCTTTTATCAGTGTTTTTTTCCAAATCTGCATGCTTAAATTAACTTTTTCAGGTAAATATACTAAAGACATGTTTCCACTTATGTGCTGCTGCAATGATCATAGGTCTAAATGAACCCACACACTGCAACATGTATAGTTTTGGTTGGACTTGAGATGATTTGTCATGATTTTTGCGTTGGTTGCATGAAAATGTGTGCGTAAATAATAAATGTTGTCATAGTCATGCATATTTGCACTCAATAATGTGTGTATATTGTTTTTGTATAGTTAGCCTGACAACTGTGACAAATTATGGAATATGTTGTATAGTGAATGGTTGAACAGCCCACTTCCTCTTTAAACAGCCTTAAGTTTATGCTGCCATGCATTTCACTTTGCATTTTTAATGAGCATGTACAATTAAAGCTTTCAAATATCATAGATCTTTAATTTTTGTCATTGAAATTACTTTGATAAAATACTTCCACACGAACATCTTCACATGTTGACTGTTAACTTATCTATGGATATTCCAGAGAAAAGGGGAGTAAATCAGGTTTACAAAAATATAGCTGTTTTATTGCTTTAAGGCTAGCGCTCCCTCCTGGTAACTAAGGGTATGTAAGCCTCAAAGGATATTTTGTATCCATTTCATTCCAATATCTACTCTAAATCCTAAACAATATCACGATTGAGCCACTGAGCTTTTTTCATTAAAAAGTATTATAGTATGTAAACAAAATGCCATTTAAAAATAACCCTGTTTTTATCTTTGTGATGATGTATCACAAATATTCAAAATCACATCTGGAGTTACAAGTGGGGGATTCAAAAACTGTAATTGAAACTCACGTAAAGTAACATTGAATTGGTATCTAGGAAGTCTAGTGCACTTGATTAAATGTACTTGCATTACACTACTTCTCAGCTATAGACCGCGAATCGCAGCCACTCTAGTCAATGGGTGCTATTCCACCACACGTGGCGCGTTACGGCTCAGAAGCGTCCCAGAAGCGTCTCGGCGCAGGGCTCCTCTAAAATTAGGATGAATCCTATTTTTGACGCGACACAGCCGTAACATAATGTTGGGCAGGCAGGAAGTGGAACGTTCAGAGCATATATATATTACATTACACTACATTGCATTTAGCTGACGCTTTTATCCAAAGCGACTTACAATAAGTACATTCGACCAGGAAGACACAACCTTGGAGAAAACAGAATCATATAAGTACATCAGGTTTCATAGAGCCAAACATTTCAAGTGCTACTCAACTGGCTTTAGATAAGCCAGTCCTTTATTAGTATAAAAGTGCTTCGTTAATAATTATATCGCTCGAAGTGGAGTCGAAAGAGATGAGTTTTCAGTTTGCGCCGGAAGATGTGCAAGCTATCTGCCGTCCTGATGTCAATGGGGAGCTCATTCCACCATCTTGGAGCCAGGATAGCAAACCCATGTGTTTTTGCTGATGGGAACTTGGGTCCCCCTCGCAGCGAGGGTGCAGCGAGTCGTTTGGCTGATGCAGAGCGTAGTGCACGCGCTGGGGTGTACGGTTTAACCATGTCCTGGATGTAGGAAGGGCCAGATCCATTCGCAGCATGGTAAGCAAGTACCAGTGTCTTGAAGTGGATTCTAGCAGTTACCGGAAGCCAGTGAAGGGAGCGGAGGAGCGGAGTGGTGTGGGAAAATTTAGGAAGGTTGAAGACCAGACGAGCCGCTGCATTCTGGGTGAGCTGCAGAGGTCGGATGGCACATGCAGGTAGACCAGCCAGGAGGGAGTTGCAGTAGTCTAGGCGTGAGATGACGAGAGCCTGGACCAGAACCTGAGTCGCTTTCTGAGTCAGCTGGGGACGTATCTTCCTGATGTTGTAAAGCGTGTATCTGCAGCAACGGGTTGTAGCAGCGATGTTTGCAGTGAAGGACAGGTTGTTATCTAGGGTCACACCCAGATTCCCTGCAGTCTGAGTCGGGGAAACAACTGAGGTGCCGATGTTGATTGTTAGGTCAAGAGTGGGACAATCTTTTCCCGGAAGGAAAAGCAGCTCAGTCTTGTCAAGGTTGAGCTTGAGGTGATGAGTAGACATCCACTGAGAGATGTCAGCTAGACAAGCAGAGATGCGTGCGACGACCTGGGTCTCTGAGCGGGGGAAGGACAGAATGAATTGGGTGTCATCAGCGTAGCAATGGTATGAAAAACCATGCGGGCTAATGACTGATCCGAGCGAGTTTGTGTACAGGGAGAAGAGGAGGGGACCAAGAACAGAGCCCTGAGGGACCCCTGTAGTTAATTGACAAGGGTCGGACTCAGACCCTCTCCAAGTTACCCTGTAGGTACGGTCTTTGAGGTATGAGGTGAGGAGGGAAAGTGCAGAGCCTGAAACTCCAAGTTTTTGGAGAGTGCGAAGGAGGATCTGATGATTCACCGTGTCGAATGCAGCAGACAGGTCCAACAGGATGATGACAGAGGAGAGGGATGCTGTTTTGGCAGTGTGCAGTTCCTCAGTGACAGCAATGAGAGCAGTTTCTGTGGAGTGACCTGCCTTGAAACCAGACTGGTGCGGATCCAGAAGGTTGTTCTGATGGAGATTACAGGAGAGTTGTTTAAAGACAGCGCGTTCAAGTGTTTTAGACAGGAACGGGAGTAGAGAGACAGGCCTGTAGTTTATAACATCAGTTGAGAGTGGGTTTCTTTAGGAGAGGGTTTACTCTTGCCTCCTTGAGACTGTTTGGAAAGTGACCAGAAGTTAGAGAAGTGTTGATGAAATGGGTGAGAAACGGTAGAATATCAGGAGCGATAGTCTGAAGGAGGTTTGAAGGGATGGGGTCCAGAGGACAGGTGGTAGGGCGGGCAGAGGTAATGAGGGTGAGAACCTCACTTGGAGAGAGAGGGGAAAAGGAGGTTAGTGTGTGAGTAAAGGTGAGTCATATATATATATATATACACATACACACACAAACTAATGTTGCAGACCCTATCCCTCCGTAGTCTTTCAAGTAGGAGGAGAAATGCCAGCGTTCTCCTCCGGTTTACAGGCACTGTGTAAATTATATATATAGAATAATTATGATGATGAATGCATTTTTGTACCACTAAAATACAGCAACACATATTTGATTCATGTCGTTTATAACTGGACTATTACAATTGTTATTAACTTTGTCTGCACAAAGTAGCCTGTCCAGGAAATATGCCCATATCAACAACAACTGCGAGCCGGCACGCAAGACACTCCGCTTCTGAAATGCTTCTGAAACGCGCCAGTTAGGGTATGACGCCGGAGGAGGCCGGACCAAAACCGAGGCGCAGCCGTAACGCGACGGAGACGGACCCGGTGGAATCTAGGGGTAAGAGCAGGCAGGGGCCGTTTCTCAATCGCGAGGAAACTGGCTTCCAAGCCAATATTTCAAGGATACTACGTCATCGAGTGCCGCCGAAGGACTGTTCCAATCTCCAGCATACTTGGAATTCCACAGAGGCCGCGTCCTTGGTTTGGGGGTAATTTCGAGGCTGCACATGGGTAGACTTCGCGTCCTTCAAATCCCCACAATGCTTTGCGCACGGACCAATTTTCCCAAATCTGTGGCGGAAAATGTAAGGCGTTGGGTTTCTCATATGACGCACCCCTGCACACTTGCTAGCCTGTTCCACTCTTCGTTTTCCGAATGCCAGGAAGGATTCTTGCCTAGCTTCTGAAGGAAGTGACTCGGAAGACATGTGCTACCAAGCAAGCATCCTCGCGATTGAGAAACGGCCAGAGAGTTAGTTTAGTGTCAACCCCCCACTATAGCCACCTTCTGTATAGCTAGTACCTGCATATCAGATTTGTGTTTTCTTTTCAAATCTGCTGCAATACTTTTCGGTCCAAAATCTTCATTACGTCACGTCACGTCACAGACACTTTTATCCAAAGCGACTTACATACATTTAGTACTGTGGACAATCCCCACAGGAGCAATTTGGGGTGAAGTGTCTTGCCCAGGGACACAACGACATGCTGACTGCAGTGGGACTCGAACTTGTTACCCCCTGATTCGAAGTCCAGCACACTATCCACTGAGCCACAGCCTCCCTCTTCAACTAATTGGAGCGAAGTCAGAAACATCACAAAGCCCATTTCATATAGATCCATTTGTAAATAACTTAACATATTAGCCTATAATATATTTGTATAAAATATAAATAATGAATTTGCATATTTACAAACCACACTGTATTTTTGTACTTTACAAAATGATAGGTCTGCCATAGAACTGTTTGTGGGTATTCAAATAATTGTCGATAATGCTTGCTTTTTTGGTGGTGTCCTTCTGGTTTAAGCAGATTTACCATCATCAACTAATATAGACATAATTGTAATTCAACTTTTTTGTAGAATTTATCACACTTGGGACCCATTTAAGGGGACAAATCCAGTGTCAGTTTACGAAAGCGGTGGTCAAAATAATTTGTACTCTTCAGTAACCGCATTGTACTAAGTGTAATGTTGACCTTGAGATCTACCTAACAAGGCCTTTTACTCCCAAACATGTCATTGGCATATAGTTTTATAACTTAATTTCTCAGAATAATAGCTTTATTGTTTTGTGTTAACTACTTATTACGGATATCATTAAAATAGACTGCTGCTCTGCAAAAAGCACAACTGAAGTTAAATGTATATTTTGAAAGTTTTAAGGAGAGGGTGACAGCAGACAGTGTGTTATACACAATATAAAGTAAGTTATATTTAAAGTGCAAAAATGCATGACTGAATTGATATGGTGGACAATGTTGATTTTTTGGAGACCAACCTTTACTTTTTATTGTTATTTTCAAGGGCAATTATCTACAATAGCTAAGGTAGCTAGCTAACTGTGGACACACATGCACATTTTCAGTGGGCATATTCTAAAAAATTAAGCAACACTTAAAACTAAAGTAACATGAGACTGTGTAAAAATATATAAAAAATACCTTCACCTTAAGTTGACTGCTGTGACTCTGAGGCTTCAATGTCCTGTGTCTTGGGAAAATGGAGACCTTCTCTTTCTGCATCCACATACCGTTAATTAGCATCACTTTCTTCAGGTGTGTTCATCTTACACAGAGGAACGTACCAGGCTAACAGATGCGCAGACTAACCCGTTTCCTCGTTTTTATTCAGCTGTTCGAATGACAAGTAAAAGTGTCACACGCCGGGGAAAGAGAAACTTTAAAGGCCAAGTGATTTCCACTAACACCCAGGAGTTAGTTTTACCTGAAGTCCGGGGGATATGTGTGAGAAACCGGTCTAACGACGACGCTGTTTGGAATGAAGGGGGGACACTAATCACCGGTGACTAAACGGTAAGAGCAGTGTGCGCCAACCCTCATTCATACATCTTACACTTGTAGTGTCCTGGTTGTTAAAAGGCAGACCGTTTGCAAAATCGGTTATTTTGAATGTAAAACATATGAAGAGAATCTCAAGGTGAAATCGGCTTGGATGACTGCTAACAAAGCAAAGCGTTACATCGAAAAAAAGGCTGTCCGTATTGTAAAGGTACACACTACAACTTTGTCTGTCCTTGCTCCTGCCATGATGGTGTACCAAGCATACATAAATTGCCATTTGTCCAAAATACGTGTTGCCTTGAATGCCGAATTTAGAGCAATTCAAACTGCGATTGTATTTTTATTTTCCTAATGTTTTTTGCAGTTTCTGGAAGGTATTTCCCATAACGTTATACATTGTAGAATAACTTGCCTACTCTTTGCATTCAGTTTGGTGAGGAATCTTTTCACGATTTGGACACTTGTAATTGTTTTTGTGTGTGTTTTTAAATGTAGAAACCTGAATCCCTGTTACAGCTAGTCCTGAGTAGTCTAAAAATTGTTGTTATATATTTATGTATATATTTAAAACCAGTTCAGAGATCATCAGGAACTGATAGATCAGCTGATCTGTTGTTGATTTCCACCTAGTTACATCTCACAGGACCTTTTTTAATTAATATAATAAATAAAAGCCAACCATTGTGACACTCAATAAAACACTATAATGAGATGACTTCTTACATATTGTATGATATCTCCTGTTTGAGGTGTTTCAGCAAGAAGGTGATTCAGTTATAGGCATGGACGCGGGAAGGGGGGGTGCTGAGGGGGCTGCAGCATCCACATCTGTTGGCGCAGAGTTGTAACTGCAACGCCAAAAAGTTCACTAAACAAATAAATACAAAAGTTTTATTTTGAGTTACTATTTTTGAGTTAGCATTTTAGTGTAAGCAGTCTATAAAAAGCTTCACTATAAGAGAAAGTGATGATGCGGTGTGCTTCTTCTGTTGCTCTGCTATAGAAAAGAAGCTCGTCAGTGCAGACAAGATCAGGGATGGGAGTTTTGTGAAAGGAGGATTTAACAACTGGCGAAAGGCAGGGGGAAAATGTAGGGAGCATGAGAAGTCCCATCAACACACAGTCCGTCAACAAACTGGCATTAAAAAGAACACCGATGAATGCGCTGCTCTCACAAGCTGTTGCTAAAGACCAAATGACTGCATTTGATATTAAGTTATTATACAGGGCCGCCCCTCCCTACACGGCACGCAGATCACGCAGGCTGAGGTGAGGCAAAATGTGGCTCATTTTGCGGAGGGAGCCTCATCTGAAGCGCAAACGCGGCGCACCTACAGCGCGCCGCTGTGAGGCTCCACTAGCCCCCCCCCCCCGGCACCTCCCGCACCCCCAACTATGACTGACTTCCCGTGTACCTGGTTATAGGGCCAGCTTTTTTTATTGGAAAGCTACACTGTAACAGGACATGTCTGCCAAGAGGACAGACATACAGTGTGCCAGATGATATACATTGCAGTATATATGATCTTTTGTACATTTTGGGTTGTGCCTTTAGGTGATCCCTGTCGGGTGTTCCCAAGTGTCAGAACATAAGCGCCAACTTGTTTTGCATCTTATTTCCCTTTTCAAATGAAATGTGCGATGCAAATGTCTTTCCTGTTGACACTGGAACCTGAATCCGGTTGTGTGGTACAGTGTTACTGTGTTATTTGGATACAGACCAGCATCACCAGTTCTTCCTAAACCTGTACAAAGAGCAGTATAGTACTGACGGCTAATGTCTTCAAAATGACTGTAGCTCTCCATTACTTTGGAGGTGAGTACTGTCTCTCTTTCAATAGATTCATCGGGTTCTCTTTAAGCTTTGGAAAGAGAAAAAAGGTTTTAGATAACTTTATTTATATGTTTCAACATGATAAATGTGGTGACTTTAGGTTCTTAAGTCAAGTTTAAATCTGATTCATGGACACATTTATAAGGCCAGGATTAGAGATTGAGTAGTACTTGAATGTACGTCAACACGATCACTTTTTTGATTTGGTAAAATGTTATATATAATATATATGTGTGATACATCATGTGTAACAGAGGACAGGGAAGAACTTATTTCAGTGGGCACCTTTGTATTTGATTTCCAACAATTACGAACAAAGCACTTATATAGGCTACTAATAAAGGGCTGGCTTATCTAAAGCCAGTTGAGTAGCACTTGAGATGTTTTGCTCTATGAAATCTGATGTACTTATATGATTCTGTTTTCCTCAAGGTTGTATCTTCTTGGTCGAATGTACTTATTGTAAGTCACTTTGGATGAAAGCGTCAGCTAAATGTAATGTAACTTTGAGCATTGTTTAGTTGGCAAATGTTCCCTTTTTAACATCCTCTTGATTTGCAAATCCTAAAAAAAGTTTTACTGTGCACTTTTTTTAAGTCTGTATTTTAATTATACTTTTCTCACAACATGTCAGATGTTTGTATGCAGAGTGTACCGTCATCAGGATGCACACTTCTGATGACTGACATGAATGATCATGTACAGAGACAGTATGAAAACCGTGAGAATGATGTCAAAGTGCAGTTGGAAATCAGTTCTTCAACTACAGATCAAAATGCTAAGTTTTACCAGAAAAGCTGTTGACTTTTTCTTTTACTTGGAGTTAAGAGTTTGCTTGTTGGGATTTATTTTCAGAATAAAAATAAATAATGTAATTTTATAAGAAGTAGACGTTTTTATACTGTTTTCCCTGTTTTGTGAGTCTGTAAAATGTAATCCTGGTGGGTGATGTTGTATTTTCATCTATAGATAACGTTTTGATTTGGACACTTAGGCCGCAGCAGGAGCATCTTCATCATTTCTTCATCATCATCCTCCATCCTCCGTGCTACTGATGCCTCATGTCCCTGCTGACGGCTGAAAGCTCAACATCCTCCATCTGTTCATCCCCTCAGAGCTCCACCCCTCCTTTAAATCGCTCCTCCGCAAGTCATGAATCCCTACAGGGACACAAATCCATCTGCATATTTACCTCCTGATCCTTATGACAATTCCCATCATCCATCTCAGTCCTCCCTGCCCTCTGCTACAGTCGTCCAGACGGGTTTCAGCTCTGTGACACTTTATGCGGCCTCATCAAACCAAGATGGAGGTCAAAACCTTGTCCCATCACCGTATTCAGACCGCCCCACCTCAACACTTCCAGCCTCAGATCCAGGCTCCGTCTTCAGCTCCAGACCTCAGTCCAGCCTACTTCCAGTCCCATCTCCAACTCAAACCCCATCTGCTCCCACACTGAACCCTTATCCTGCCCTCGTCACCCCCCCATCAAGCCAGGTCTCAGTCATCACCTTGTCCCCAGACCTCCGCCCGTCCCCTCTCCAACCGCAGTGCTCCGAGGAGAGCTGCCCGGACCTAGAGTGCTCCATCTGCTTCAGCCAGTTCAACAACGTCTTCCGCTGTCCCAAGATGCTTCAGTGCAAGCACACGTTCTGCCTAGAGTGCCTGGCGCGCATGAACGTCAAGTCGGCTGATCCCAACGCCATCCAGTGCCCGCTGTGCCGAGGCCTCACCCCCCTCCCCACCCTGGGCCTGCCCCGGCTGGCCACCAACTCTGACATGCTGTCCTACCTGCCGGCCGCCATGCAGCGAGTGTACAGCATCCGCTTTGTGCGCAACAAAGGGAAGTTGCAGGTCAAAAGGTAACAATATATAGCTTTTTTTTAAAAGAAATACCATTTAACAATTTAACAACATGCTGCCTGTGTTTCTCACTTTTAATGCTTTTTTTTAAAAGCTTCATATTTATGGGTCTCAGGCTTCTCGGACTAACCTACGACATTTTAAAACTACATTTTAAAATGTAATGAATTTATTTCTTTGGTATTGCTGCTTTTTATCTTTTCATTTATGGGATGTTGGTTAAAATGAATATGCAATGTAAATTGAATGCAATATTATCAATTTAATACAATTTTTATTTGCCCAATGTGCCAGTTTTTTACCTAAAAAATACAAATGTATTTTTAATCATTTCTATTTTTTTGTTTTTATTCAATTGATAATATTGCAATCAGTATGTTTGTTCGATGAATCACATTCATTCCATTTATCATTCTATAACTGATTGTTGTTGTAGTGTCGATTTGACTCATACAAACAACAAATCTCAAAATCATGTCCGCCGAGTTGCCAGAGAAATTGGTGGCTCTAAATTGATGTACACCAGAGACTCTATTGTGCTGTTTTCCCTTTCCTGTAGTGTGCTCTATAGGTTTTTTAAAATCCCAAAGTTCCCTCCAGAGGTGAAAAGAGGTGCTGAAGCACATGAGAAAAAAAAACAGCCTTTTTAAAAAATATTAAAGCATGGAGACATGTCACAGTAGAGGCACTTCATACAAATATAAAGCTGAAAAAGAGCATTATCAGGTCCCTTTTTTAAATCAACCATTACAATGTTAGTTTATAATTACAGAACAAATAGCTCCAGCAGTGAAAGATCATCACTTGATCAATAATACTCTGTGTTTCTCATTAAGGTCGACTGAAGGTCACATGCGCTGGGGTCGCAGGTCACTGACCTCTCTGAGGTCCATGAACCGCTCACTTGACGTGGGGCTTCCCAGCCCACCTGTCAGGGGCCGCTCAGAGGTGCCCGGCCTGGGCGGAGCTCTGTTCCGACTGACGGGCCGGCCCGTGTGCCGAGCCTTCCTCCTGATTGCCGTGGTGATGATGATGGTGCTGCTGACCAGCATCATCGTCTTCCTCCTCCATAAAAACAAGGACAGCGGTGAGTGACATCACATCCTGTCTTCCTCCTGCTTTTATAACTGTGTTGGGAAAAATGTTCTTACAATTCCACCATCCTGAGGGAATTGAATGCAGTTAGTGAGCAACATCTGTCTCACTGCTCTGGCAAAAAACAGAAGAACATTTCAGGCTTTGAGACAACAAGCAACTCCTAACTCTGACATCTGAAGGAAGGAAGAGCTGCTCCTTCAACACTCACACCTGAGCTGAGACAATGGACTATTGTTTTTTTTAAGTGCCACAAGATCCCAAAAAAATCACACAACTATACTCGCCACTCATAACACAACCACTGAGGTGATCATCTTGGAACATGTTTTGCCGTTATTAACCTGTGCCAAAAGCTTTAAATGTTTGTTTAGCTGGACTTGAGCCCTTTCTGTATGAAGTCCCAGCGTGTCAGTCAGGTAACAGGGGAGGTGGGACAGCACTGCAAAGTGAGAAGCAGCAGACTTTTATCTTCTTCACATCACTTTTCTCCAAAAGCCTCAAGTACACACCCAGTTTTGAGGAAAACGCACAAAATCGTCACTTTTTCATGTTAGTATTGCACATACAGTAATACAAGATGGCCAACCTAAAGGTCATTTGATGGCAGTGAAGATATACACATGTGTTAGTCTATAAAAGCATTAGATTCATTGCAGGTTTATTATAATACAAGGTCAAAGTCTATGGTGGCTGCACAAGTCCTCATAAAACACTTGATTCCAACCATATCAAAAGAAATGTGGTATCACTTGGTTTATTTCAAACATACCATTACTGATCTGAAACAATGTACAGTAATAATCATATGAACATGTTACCAGGTGGCACCTTCTTCTTCTTCATAATCTTAGTTCATCTGGCAGATCTCAGCACTGTGTGTGTGTGTGTGGGGTCTTTAACACTCCTTCTACCTCCTGTTGGAGCTGCAGCCCCGCCCCTAGCTCTTAACCAAATGCTGTAAACGGGAGCCATGCAAATCGAGCTGAGCCACAGTTAGTCTGACGCAGAGAGCCGAGGATTTCCATGGATGCTGTGACATTTAAAATGTGCAGCTGGAGAGTGTAAAGGGTCAGTTCGACAAAATAAGTCCTTTTCCAACTAGGAGATTTCTCTACATGCATGCTGGTTTTCGGAGATTGTAATCAATACAATAGAGGTGATTTGAATGTATTATAAACCTCAGCGTCTCTCTCTCTTTTAAAGCACATTTTACAACAGAAAGTAGACTTGTTGCAGTTTAACTCTTTTTAAATGTTTTTTTTTTTTCAAAACTTCCAGCACAAAAAATTAATTCCATTACCCTTATTTTATACCTGAGACACATATCTAAAAACCTGTATGTGATATTGTATGTATGGTAAGACTTTTAAAAGCCGTAAATCATATTTTACCTGGCCAATCAATGGATCTCGGTGACAAAATTCTACTTTTTCAAAACAATCGTGGCCTTATTCTCATAATCTGCTGAGAATAGAGGGAACTAACCACAAGCGAAACTTTTCCCCAGAACACTTTGACTTGCAAATAAAATGTGCCATCCCAAAAAGTCCTCCATTAAGATATATCATGAGGTAAATAATGCGAAAGAGGAATATGTTTTAATCAGATGTTTATCGTCCTGTGTTTGAACTGTGGCTTCTTCTTTGTGTACTTTGTGTTTTTAGGCTCCGGGCCTGTTTTACTGTGCAATGTCACATACATTATTATTTTATATATTTATATAAATGTTTTAACAAAGCTTGCTTCTTGTTGAACTTGAATAAATTCCTTTTTAAATTACACTTGAAGTGATTTCTTGAAAGTGGAAAATGGGTTTTAAATCTCACTCCCAGAGTTTATCAAAAATGTATATATTCTGAATGCATGATTTAAAATACATGTCTTTAGGTTTGTAAATGTGGCTAATGCTGCCTATAGCAGAGTTTTAAAGATGACATATAGTCAGGAAAGATATTTAAACAATATGTAAAAGGTTTTACAGCCTGATGCTGCTTACAGGATCCACAACTTTCTTTATGCCAACTAAAATGTAGTTATGTTCTTCATACGGTAACGGTCTACAGAAAAATGTGTCCAGAAATACCTTCTATTATAGTTACACTCTTTGTTTGTTAACTTTTATGGGGCATTTAACATTTAATTTCTATTTAATTTGTCTTTATTTATTTGTTGGCACCTTCTTATGACTTATCTGTATATCATATTTTATTTTGTTCTAAAATGGAACAAATGTCCCGAAAACCAATTCCCCTGGGATAATTAAATTCCCTGATTCTGATTCTACATGCATCACCTGTAGTAACTGGGCTCTAATAGAAAGCATGGTCATACTGGTGCATTAATGGAGGATACATGTATACATTGTTACTACCTTCAGTAGATTATGTCAACTCATTGCTCAATTGAAGTGTTCCACATTCTTGATTTCCCAGCAGGGGGAGCTGTAGCACCAGGTCCCGCTGCATACTGAATGTTCAGAGGGAGGTCAGACATGGTTTAGTATCAATGCTTTAGGATCAACAGGGCTACATTTAGCTCATGAGTCCGGTATATGATTAATAATGAGATAAACCTACAGCATTTGATGTGGGAAGTAGAAATACTTTGTTACTGTATTTAAGTAGATTTTTCTGGTATCAGTTCTACTCCAAGACATCGCTTTACTTTAGTATCATATACAAAATACAGGAGTGTGCATGTTCTCCAGTCTTTTTCACCCATTTACCCCCCCCCCCCATACAGAACAACACAACAGTAATAGTACGGAAACATTAAAAAATGATATACAAATTAAATAAAACAAGGAAAGATTAAAAAATAACAATACAAATAAATAAGTCACATATTGACAAACAATAACTTACAAGATATTTTCAAACATACGTACACCAGCCAATTAATCATACACTTATTGACACGGGAAAGGTTGAGGTAAACTTGAGCAAATCTGTATTCTGATTCAGTTCAAAAAAATATTCACATAAATGGGAGAAGCATCCTGGTTCCACCTAATGTCATACAGAAAACATGATCAGCGTATGTGACAATGACAGTATTACAATTTGAAATAGATGTATAATGTTATTAATATAGTGAGGTCCAGTTACCAGCTTGACTCAATAAAACAGTTGGTAGTTATGGCTACTTTTAACCTATAAGTACATTTTAAAGCCCAAACTTCTTTACCTTTACTTGAGTAAAGAAGTTTAGTCAGTAGTACTTCCACTTTTACCAGAGTATATTCAAACGTGTGGATCTGTACTTCTACTTGAGTGAAGGGTGTGTGTACCTTTGCCATCTCTGATGTGGGACGGAGCTTCAACAAAAATAACATTTGTAGGGACTTGGTTTGAAGAACACAAGGGTCGCCGGGTCAAGTCCTGATCGGACTGGGCTCTGGTTTCAGACAGAGGGTGAAAAGAGGTGCTGCAGTATGAGAAAATAAAGAGATTTTGAACATTAAAGCATGGAAACATGTCACAGTAGAGGCACAACATACTAATATGAACCTGAAAATGAGCAGAATATGTCCTGTTTAAATATGATTTTGTAAACTGATTGGTTTTTGCAACAGTCTCTGTAAATAAACAAACACCAATGCACGCGTCCGTTTTCTAGATTAGACAGGTATATTTGAAACGGAGTAAAAAAAGGAAATACAATGTAATCTTTAAGTTGTTTACATCAGTATGATAATTATAAAGGTATATCTTATTTTTCCCAGTGTATTATTTTATATGTGTACAAGGGGAGGGTGTAGAGGTTGGAGTGACAGCGCCCTCTAGGGGCAACTGACATGAAAAGTTGTGAATGTAATCCTTTTAGTCTGGAGAGGAAAACTCTTCTCCTGGCTTCATGTTGTTATTAAACACCAATTGTTTACCTCCTCCCTAAATAAAGATACTGTCTGATTGTGTTCAGACCTACTGACCCTTTTTTTTTTTTTTTTAAATATATGAGTTGTTTAATATAAAATCACCTGTTTCCATGACTCTTCTGAACACTTCCACTACTTTTTTTTCTGACACTGAGGGAGGAGGGTGCTCTGTAGTTTGTTGACCTGATTTGACAACAACAATTTAATGAACACACACACACACACACACACACACACACACACACACACACACACACACACACACACACACACACACACACACACACACACACACACACACAGTTGGATAAGAGCTTGTTGATGAAGCCGGAGAGAACATCCACATTGTTTCATGATGACTCTTGTCCAGGATCCCCTCCTCTGCATGGACATGTAGGTGGGGAGGGGAGGGGGTGACATATTATGTAATTATAATATATTACTGTTGTGTTACCAGGAGAAACTCCCTCTGGAGGAAACAGGGAATTTAGCCTTTGCAGACCATTTAAATGCACAAAACCCTATAATCAATCAATCAATGTTTATTTATATAGCCCTAATATCTCAAATGTTACATTTGTCTCAGTGGACTTCACAGTTTGTACAGAATATCAGTATGACAATACGACACCCTCTGTCCTTAGACCCTCACATCGTACAAGGAAAAACTTCCGGAGAAAACCCACAGTTTAAAGGGGAACATGGGAGAAACCTCAGGGAGAGCAACAGAGGAGGGATCCCTCTCCCAGGACGGACAGACGTGCAATGGATGCTGTGTGTAAATTGAAAAGATAATACATTTGCAACATAGGTAGTCCAAATGTTTAATAATGCATGTGTCTATAATAAGAAGATGACTCCACGAGGATGTCAACAATCCTGTGGGAGCCATCAGGGAAGTAGTATGATGAGAGTCAGGCAGGACCGCAGAGACAGGTTCAGCCACGACTCGAAGTCCATGTATTAACATGAAGCCAAGTTGTTGCCTCTCAACTCAATCGCACAACGTCACGTCCGTTAATTCCACAACCGCACACATGGATTAACATCGATTTAATACATTAATGTAGCCTTTGTTTCTGCTAAAAGAGGTGTTGACCAGCTGGGGAAACAAGAAAATCAGCGAAATCGAGTGTGACTATTAAAAGATAAATCATTATTATATTAATAATGACAATAACAACCGACCGTCGTGGTACAGCATTTGCTTGGCATTTCCGGGTATTTGGGCCATGTTAACCATACCGTGTAACTGGGTGTTTCTTAATGTCGAGTACGCTTGCTTGGTAGCACATGTCTTCTGAGCGTCTTGCTTCAGAAGCGAGGCAAGAATACTTCCTGGCATTCGGAAAACAAGTGGAACGAGTGGAACAGGCTAGCAAGCGTGCAGGTGTGCTTCATATGAGAGGCCCCGCCTTACATTTTCTGCCACAGATTTGGGTAAATTGGTCCGTGCGCAAAGCATTGTGGGGATTTTAAGACCGCGGAGTCTACACATGTGCAGCCTTGAAATTTCTCCAAACGAACTATGCTGGGCTCGGTAGATTTCCAAGTATGCTGGACATTGGAACAGTACTTCGGTGGCACTCGATGACGTAGTATGCTTGAAATAGTGGCTCTGGAGCAGCTTTACTCGCGATTGAGAAACACCCAGTGGCCGTTTCTCAATCGCGAGTATGCTTGCTTGGTAGCACATGTTTTCCGAGTCACTTCCTTCAGAAGCTAGGCAAGAATCCTTCCTGGCATTCGGAAAACAAAGAGTGGAACAGCAAGTGTGCAGGTGTCCGTCATATGAGAGGCCCGCCTTACATTTTCCGCCACAGATTTGGGGAAATTGGTCCGTGCGCAAAGCATTGTGGGGATTTTAAGGACGCGAAGTCTACCCATGTGCAGCCTCGAAATTTCCCCCAAACCAAGATTGGAACAGTCCTTCGGCGGCACTCGATGAAGTAGCGTCCTTGAAATATTGGCTTGGAAGCCAGTTTCCTCGCGATTGAGAAACGGCCACTGTCACGTTTGAAGGGTTATGGCTAGAAAGGATCCGTCTTGTGTAAAACTCTCGCGAGAATTAGCAAGTCACGTGGCTGAATGTTTACGTTTGGCAGGCAGCCTTTTAGTTGCGATCGTTAACATCAGTGGGCCACAGCAAATGATGGTGAGAAGCTAAACTATTAATTATGTCAATTACAGGGAGTGTGATTGTTAAAATAGGATGATAGTGGTCTTGCTGTTCAAAGAAGAATGACAACACTGTAGATCACCAACACTATGGTTTATTTTTGATTCACAGGCAGGTCAACGTTGTCGCAGTAAAAGTCCCAAGATAGCTCCTGGTGCAATAAAATGTTCCCTTTCAGTGTTTCACTATTATATCTGATGTTTCTCTATGAATATTGCTGCTGCATTAATGTGTATGTTGCATCATGTTACTGCTGTAGATGTGTTTCCGAGCCGCTCCGATTACAACGAGAGTTACAACGAGAACGTGACGTTATATTTACACAAGACGGATCCTTTCTAGCCATAACCCGTTTGAAGGGACGAAATCGTGACATCTTCACTTCTCCCAGCATGGTAAATCGTCACATGTTCACGTCTTGCCGTGATACCGGGTTGCCTATAACACATTTCAGGAAAGGAAAAACACCAAAAAGCATTAAAGGGTCCCTTTTACTCATTCTGTTATTACCATTTATGACTTATCAAGCAAACATAATCTTAAAATACATGGGTAGTTGGGTATCAGCTAAATCAAATGCAATGCAATTATTTAATCAGATTTTGATTCAGATTGATCTCAAACTGTCTACTTTTAAGCAGTCCAAAAACTCCTGAGACTTAAC